CCCCTATATCTTCATTGAAAACTCGGATGCTTTTGCGCACAGCGCATTACCTTTTTAAACCTTTCAATCCCCTCGCATTACTACGGGCTGCTGGACCGTTTGGTCCATCACTTATTAGGCGTTTCAGGCCAGATCTACGAATCATATATGGTCAACCACCATCTATTGGGTCGGTAAGTCAAAGTTTAAAACAATCTTTTTAAGTTTAGTTTCATGTATGGTGTTGACCATTAGTACTAATTATGCTGTCTTCTACCTATTTTCATCTCGCAATTGCCTTTGCTTCCAGGAGATAGTTGTACCACCTCCTGATTATGATATTCAGGATTCTCAATCATTTTCGGACGATCATATTATGGGAAGTAGTCATTTTTATAAGGATTTGGTTCCATCCGAAGATTCAAAGGTTAGTTTTTCAACTTTGCTTCATTGATTATCTTTTCAAACCAATTTTTAAAATTCAACATTTAAATATTTTTATCTCATCGTTTTGTCCAAATATTTCCATCGTTTATTCTACTGTTGCAATTTTATTCATTTTATTTTTCGGCTGGATCTTAATCTTTTTAAACAATTTGTAAATTATCTAGTTTTTCGAAATTAAAATAATACTTAATTAATTGTGTGCATTTCATCTTAACCACGCATCAGCCTGGCCTTTACTCATCTCCGCCCATTTCCATAAATGGTTTTGGTGAAGAAGTATTTGATTACATCTACCACTCCAATGCTAGGAAGCCAAGGTGACCTGATTTCTTTCTAATTGTATCCAGCTCTAGTCATATTGTTCATACCGCATATTTATCCCTATTGAATTACTTCGTTCTCATCACGATCTTATGACACTTATCATATATCAAAGTTTTGTATAAATTGACAGCTTTGATTTCGTTATTTTCATCTTTAAATGTCCTAAGCTTTTACTTCAGGATTTATTGTAACCCTATTCGCAATGACTCATCATTTTTTATTATTTTTAATTAATTTAAGCTTACGAGCTCAGCACGTCTTGTCAGACTTCCTATCTTTTTGCTATCATACTATTCCTTATTTTCCACATTTATAAAGTTGTTTTTCTTTCTCTTCCTATCATCGTTTTTGACTCAAGTAAGAGCCATTGAACTTCATGGTGCTCATTGGCATTTAACTAAGTTTACTATATCTGGTTTATAAGACAAGAAAAAAATAGGTCATGTTACTTATTTTTCTTGCAGCTTTCATCAATGTAGTTCTATTGTCTCAGAAACCAACGCATTCCTTTTTATTTGCCCAAACTTTCCTTAAGCGGTGAGATTGGCTTCAAGGGAATGTGTGCAGTTGCCGGTTGGGCGGCCATTCCTATGCTTCCACGCTTTGCAAATCTCGATCCTAATTTGCCGGTAACTTTTATATATGGTAGCAGATCCTGGGTTGACAGCGCCTCAGGTGAAAAGGCCAAGCTTCTTCGCCCCAACACTTATGTCGATGTTAAAGTAATTTAAACTTCCATTCATCATAATATTTTTAAAATTTGCATTATTACTTTCAGTTATATATACTTATATATATGTGTTTTTATCACAGGGGGTATTCATTGATATAAATTTGGCCATTACTGACGAAACAAGTTGTCTGAGATCCAATGTTGGAGACGATACATAGTGAAATGCGCTTTACCATATTATAAACTAACTCCGTCTAAGGTCTAAGACTAAGGTTATTGGGTCCTCTGTTTTGTCGCAGTCTCCTTTGGCTATATAGTGTTGGTTTGACCTCGTTTTTTTTACTTGGTTGGGGCATCAGAGAGACCTTCTGAAAGATATATAGTCACGCGTCCTCTGTCATAGTATTCGTGATTTACCTCACCGGCTCATTGACTTGGTACGTTCCAAAACGTTTCGCCGGCGCAATTGTTAGCACAGAGTTACAACGTATCGAAGTGACATGTTAAGGTCATCCCCTCGACTAATCTTCTATTCAATCGTTGTGAAACTAATGCGGGAAACCACAGATAGAATGATAGAAGATACATTCCACGAGGTCTCACTGATGCTCCGATCAAGTTGTGAGAACGAGGTCAAACTAACACTAATTTCATCTTCGCCCATTTATCCTAATAATTATCTAAGAACTTTGTCTTTGAAGAAATTTTACTTAAATAATCGAATTCGAATGTGCTTCATGGCATTTATTGTCGAGCATGTATTGATACATGTGGGTGTATCGAATGATCCAAGATTCTCTTTATGTATACGACAAATGTATCATTAACTTTCTGCTAAACGAATTCATTGTCATCTGATTGGCAAACTAGAGTCACCATTCACTTGCGATGCTAGTGCTGTATAATAGGATGATTCCCTACTCAACCTACTGATTCGTCAACATCAG